TGGATTAGCGATCCTTTGAGGTAGAGCAGTTTACAATTGGGATTAGCGATCCTTTGAAGTAGAAACTGAGGAGGTTAGGCTAGGGGGTTGTTTTTTTTTGTGACAACTCAGTCCACTTCACTCCCCCCTTTTCACGGACGAAAAGAGTCAGACGGGGGACTCATCAGAGTCCAGAGGAGCATAGGATTGACGCAGGACAAACAACTGGAGTGCTTGCACTCGTTTCTGGACATAGCGGGTGATGCATTTTATGAGACAAGGGGCCATGAGTAACCCAAGGAGGAGAAGGGCCAGAGGGCCCACCACTCCGGAGAGTAGGGTGGTTAGCCAGGGGGACCAATTATATAGGGTCTGATACCAAAAAGACCCCGTTGCCCGTGCGCGGTCCCTCTCATCTAACCGCTGCCTAAAGGCTTGCAAGGACTCCCGAATAACTCCAGACCGATTGGCGTAGAAACAGCAGGTTTCTCCCAACGCCACGCATAAGCCTCCCTGTTTGAGGAACAGTAGGTCCAAGCCTCGGCGGTTCTGGAGAACCACTTCGGCCAGAGAGTCTAGGGAAGTCTCAAGGTGTGAGACTAGCTCTTCCAAGGAGCGTAGGTCCCTATCTACCTGTGCACTCAAGGCACCGTAGTTGGCTTTCCCCTGTATCAGGGCTGAGGCCCCAACAGCAGCGGAGCCGGCCACTCCGAGTCCCACCAGTATGGGAACCAAGAAGGGTACAGCCCTCCTGGAGTGAGTTAAGCCAATATGCTCAGCTGCCCCTTCCTCTGAGTAGACATATACCTGAGGAAAGACACGCACCACTACACAGAGCTCGGTCGGGTTGAGGAAATGAATGTCCTGTATGCAGGTGGTGAGTCCTCTGGTACAAGCGAACCATACTCCAGGTGGGGCGGTTAACAGGAGGTCAGAGCTTTTGGATGTGGGGGAAATAAGAATGACTGAAGTGCACGTAGCGTTGAATGGGGAGGACCGCAGCGGGTAGTCAGGCCCGAGCAAACACATTCCTTTGCCCTGGACATCGTCTAGGGTAAGTCTAGGCTTGTCTGGGTTACAGCGGGCAGGTATGGCAGAGGATTGTTTGGACTTACTTAAAGACAACTTTCCCACAGAGGTGATGTTGAGTTCGATAGCAATTCCTACGAAATAGGGGGGAGCTGGATTCAGACACAGCCAACAGGAGGTGGTTATGTTTGGATCAGACAAATTTAGGAATGAATGGACAGCAGAGAGTGTATCAAAAATGGGGGAACCTAGGTTAGTGAGGGTCTCTGGATTTTCGGGAGCCTCTGGTACCAGGTCCCTAACAGATGGTGGGGCGAGAGTCAACATGGCTTGTGGGTTAAGGATGGGATTCGGTCCTATGGTGAGTGTATGGGTGGAAACTGCGATTTTCTGAATGGTAAAAAGGACCCCGTTATCCCATCCAGTCATGTATAACCTCAAACCCCAAGAATGTCCGAGATTCCAAGAGTCATCAGTGTCCTGCTTGACTGTTAGAATCATAGGGTTACATTTCCCAGGCCAGCAGGAGGCGGGGAGGGGGCTTTGTCTCTCCAGGGTGATTAGGGGGTCTCGGCCACCTCTAAGAATCCACCTGGCCACAGTCTCACAACCCCATTCTGCGCAGTGAAAGTGATTACTACCCTGACAGGAAGGATTCCCCGTGGCCGGACAAACATAGAATTCAATACTTCTGATTCTCACTTCCCCTACCCCGGGTATGGTTGGAGTGGTGGGAAAAGTGGGGCAGTATCCCCATCCCCCAGCGATAGGGTCCCACATAGCCCGGTTTTGATTCCATCCTGGTCCCAAGAGGGCACAGAGGTCAAACCTGAAAGTAGGGGCTCCGTAACTGGTGAGAGCTTGGACGGTGGTCCCATCGTTAGTTTGGGAGAGAATCCACCTGGATGGGGTAGGGCTATAGGGGTCACCCAAAGTCATCTCACAAGCAAAAAGAAAGAGAAGAAGAGTCAAGTTCTGGAGAGTCGAAGCTTTAGGTCGGACACTGCTTCTGCTGTCCAGGCGGTGGAGTTGGGCTCTGGGGCCTTCTTGATGTGTGACCGATGTATCCATGCCTTGCGGCCGGCAACCTTGACGGCAGAGGGGTTGCAGAGGATAATTTGATACGGGCCCGTCCACCGTGGTTCCAGGGCTGGTCCAGCTGGAAGCTTGCGAGTGAGGACCCAGTCTCTCGGTGACAGGGCGTCCGATGAGGTTGCAGGGGCTGGTTCTTTCCCCGCAGCTTTCAGGACCGAGCGCACAGCGTTCTGGACCTCACGCAAAGCCTGGAAGGACTTAAGAAGAGTCGGATTAGTAAAATCTGGGGCTGAAATAGCTGCAGATACTCTTGGAATAATAGGAGGAGGGGCTCCATAGAGGATCTCGTATGGAGATAAAGAGAGGGTTGAGGAATTGGGAGTACACCGGGCCCGGAGGAGGGCGAAGGGAAGGAGACTGACCCAGCTATCGCCAGTTTCTATTTTAAGTTTAGCAATGTGTTCCTTTAGAGTTCTATTCATCCTTTCTACCTGCCCTGAACTTTGAGGCCTATATGCACAGTGCAATTTCCATTTCAATCCCAGCATCTTTGATAGGCTTTGAATTGTTGCAGATACAAATGCTGCGCCGTTGTCAGAGCCTATCGAGGCCGGCAGGCCAAATCTAGGAATAAGTTCAAAGAACAGCTTTTTGGCCACTACGGTTGCAGTTTCAGTTTTGACTGGAAATGCTTCTGGCCATCCAGAAAATGTGTCCACGAATACAAGGAGAAAACGGTACCCTCCCAACCCAGTTCCCATGTCAGTAAAGTCTACTTCCCAATGGTTGCCAGGAAATGTTCCTCGTGGTCTATCAGTTGGTATCCTTGATTGTGATCGTGGGTTGACTTTGGCACATGCAAGGCACCTTCTTGCGGCTTCCTCGGCCGCCTGCTTCATCCCAGGGCTGTAGAAGTGTCGGCTCACCAGGTCGTAAAGCCGGGTTCCGCCTAAGTGGGTAAGGCTATGAAGAGTCATCAATAGGGGTAGCAACAGTGCCTTGGGCAGAATTAGCAAGCCATTTGGGTGTCTTCTCCATCCCCCCTTTTCAGGGGTGCCATCCGGATCACTGGATTGATAAGATGGTTGGACAGGAAGCATCCCCTCAGGTTCCACGACCATAGCGGGTATCAAGGGTTTGCAGGCAGCCGCTCGGGCAGCCTTATCCGCTGCTGCGTTCCCTAGAGACTGGGGGTCAGTTCCACGGGTGTGAGCAGGAACATGAATTACCGCCACCTCCTTGGGAAGCCAGACAGCATCCAGCAGGTCCTGGATCTGACTCTTGTTCCTAATCTCCCTTCCCGCCGAGGTTAACAGACCCCTTTGGAGATATACATATCCATGGATATGAACAGTGGCAAAGGCATAGCGGCTATCTGTGTAAATATTTACTCGCCTCCCTGCAGAGAGTCTAAGGGCTTGAGTTAAGGCAATGAGTTCAGCAGTTGAGCAGATGTGCCAGGGGGTAGAGCGGTATCCCAGAGGGTCTCAACCGGAGTGACCACGGCTGCACCCGCCCTACGGATCCCCTCCTGAACAAAACTGCTGCCGTCTGTGAAGAGCACTAGGTCGGGGTTTGTTAAAGGAACATCAGTAAGTCCAGGGCGGGACGTGTGGATGGAGTCCAGTGTGTCCAGGCAGTCATGTATAGGGGAGGAAGGAGGGGAGTCAGGGAGCAGGGTGGCCGGGTTGAGTGTGACCGGAGGAGCGAAAGAGATGCGCGCGGAATCTAGGAGTAAGGATTGGTAATGAGTCAGGCGTGAATTTGAGATCCATCTTGTCGGCGGGGAATGTAAAAGCTGTTCCAGATGATGTGATGCTGAAATCTCAAGAGGCTGCCCAAAAGTGAGCTTTGCGGCTTCCCTAACCAAGACGGCAATGGCCGCCACAGTTCGCAGGCAAGAGGGCCACCCGGAAGCCACAGGGTCCAGCTGCTTGGAGAGATAGGCAACAGGACGATTCCAGGGCCCCAGGGGCTGGGTCAGAACCCCTTTGGCCACAGCTCGAGACTCAGACACATAGAGGCGGAAGGGCTTGGACAGGTCTGGCAGGGAGAGGGCAGGCGTGCTGGACAGCGCCTTTCGGAGCTTGTCGAATGCTTCCTGCTGCCGTGGTCCCCAAACAAATTGGGTGGGTTCACCAGTTAGGGCCTCATATAGGGGTTTGGCAACCTCGGCAAACCCCAAGATCCAGAGGCGACAGTATCCAGCCATCCCCAGGAATTCCCGGAGCCCGCGGCGGTTCCTCGGGGCGGGCATGCCCAAAATGGCAGCTACACGCCCCCGAGACAGTAACCTTTGACCAGAACGAAGGGTGAAACCCAAGTAAACAACGGATTGAGAGCACAGTTGTGCTTTCTTTCCAGAGATACGGTACCCGGAAGCTTCAAGCAGCTGGAGAAGGTGGAGAGTTGCATCTTTGCATATTGCCTCAGAGGAAGTAGCTAACAAAAGGTCATCAACATACTGGAGGAGAGTGACCTCCGGATACGAGACCCGGAAGGCGGCCAGGTCGGAGGCCAGAGCTGAGCCAAAAAGTGTAGGGGAGTTCTTAAAACCTTGGGGAAGCCGGGTCCAGGTGAGCTGAGAGGATGTCCCAGTGTTAGGATCTGTCCAAGTAAAAGCGAATATAGGTTGGCTTACTGGTGCCAAGGGAATGGAAAAGAAAGCATCCTTCAGGTCCAAAACTGTCTACCAAGTCCGAGCAGGGTCCAGGGAAGACAGCAACGTGTATGGGTTTGGCACAGTAGGATGTACAGTTTCCACCCGGGCGTTGACTTCTCATAGATCCTGGACAGGACGGAAGTCTCCAGACCCGGGCTTGCGAACTGGAAGTAGGGGGGTGTTCCACGAGCTCTGGCAGGGTCGTAGAATGCCTGCCGCCAAGAGTCGATCGATGTGAGGCTTGATGCCCAAAAGGGCAGCTCGAGTCAACGGGTATTGTTGGACACACGCAGGGGTTGCTGTGGACGAGAGCTGGACCACCACTGGGGGCTGGTGTCCTGCTAGACCAAACGGGTTGGTCTCAGCCCAGACTCCAGGAACCAAGCCTTTGAAATGGTTCAACAGAGTTAGGGAGGTAGGGGTGGAGGTGGTCGAGGGGCGGTCTGGGGAAAACGTTAGGGGGAGGAGGCGAGACTCCTCTGACAACGGGCAGGTGAGAACAAGTTGTGGCAGGTTAAACCCGAGAGTGGGGTTAGGTCCCTTAAAGGAAATGATAGCCTGAAGCTTGTGTAGGAGATCTCGGCCAAGCAAGGGGTAAGGGCAATCAGGCATTACTAGAAAAGAATGGGAGACTAGGCCCTTCCCTAACCGGACTTCCCGAGAAGTGGTGAGGGGTACAGACTGTTTTCGTCCAGTAGCTCCCTGGACCTGCACAGTGGACGATGAGAGGGAGCCCAGTGGGGATTTCAGGACCGATGCCGCAGCTCCAGAGTCGACTAGGAATGAGACAGGTTGACCCCCAACACTGAGAGTAACCCTCGGCTCCAGGGGGTCAAGAGTCACAACGGACTTTGAGCCGGGGCACCCCTAGTCTGTATTCAAAGTCAATAATGGCTCTGCCTTCTCTTTCAGCCCGCGATTAGGGCACTCAGATTTCCAATGACCCATGGCTTTGCAGTAAGCACACTGATCCCGAGCTAAAGGAGGCCTTCCCAAGCCTTTACCCTTATAGGGGCGCCCAGCGTTTGGCCCCTCCCGCCTTCCTTTCCACCCTTGCTTCTGAGCCTCCCCTGGAACCTGTGCTAAAGCTGCCACTACCGCCCTTGCGACCGTGCGAGTTTGCTTGTCTTGAGTCTCTTCACGATAGTCAAACACCCGCTTGGCCACTTCCATGAGTTCAGTCAGATTTTTACCCTCAAAACCTTCAAGTTTCTGTAGCTTCCGACGGATGTCCGGAGCTGAATTGGCTACGAAATCAATTATGATGGCTCTCCGGTTATTGGGATCCTCTGGGTCGATAGGGGTGTAGGTTCGATATGCCTCGTAGAGGCGCTCTAAGTATGCAGCTGGGGACTCATCCTTGCCCTGTTTAACCTCACTGACTTTGGACATATTAGTTGGCTTCCGTGCTGCTGCCCGTAACCCTCCCAGCAATAACTGGCGATACCTGTCCAGTGCTTCCCTACCGCGATCAGTGTTGGGGTCCCAGTCGGGCCGGTTCTCAGGGAAGATGTGGTTGCGGCGCCCCAGGTCAGTAGAGGGATGTCCATCTGGGTCCAGAACTCCCTTCCTGGCTTCTAAAAGAATCCTGTCATGCTCCTCGGTTGTGAAAAGAACCCGGAGGAGCTGCTGGCAGTCATCCCAGGTGGGCTGATGAGTATAAAAGACAGTCTCTAGGAGGGAGATTAGGCTCTGGGGCTTATCAGAGAAGGATGGGTTTTGCTGTTTCCAATTGTACAAATCACTGGTGGAGAAGGGAACATATACCATGAACGGTCTCCCTGATTCTCCGGGAGGGGAAGGAACTTGCCGCAGGGGAAACGCTGACACAGTGGAATCTGGGGTCAAACTGGAATTAGAAGGGCCATAAGGAGCACCTGCTCGAGTATGGGGTGGACTTATCAGAGGAGGGGCTGAGGGGCTCAGAGACCCTGAGGTTGGGTACGGGGGTGGATCTGAAACCTGGGACTGGGAGTACTCAGCTGGATCTAGGGGGTCAGAATCAGGGGGTGGTAAGACAGGAGTAAGCTGTGTGACGACCTTAGGACTTTCGGGAGGCTTGCGGCTAAAGGTCGTCTTTGATTCCGTTCCTGGTCTTAGTTTTGAAAGGGCCTGGACCTGTAGTGGTCCCGAAGGGGGTTTGAAATCAATCCAGGCGGTGATATAGGGGACCTGATCGGGGTGGCCAGGTATACCATAGACAATTCCCCTGACCCGGCCGGCCACCGAGACGTCAAACGTACCCCCCGGGGGCCAGCCTACCTCGAAGGTGGGCCATTCCTGTTGGCAAAGGAGAGCTAATTTCTTTTTAGTAACCTGAAACCCATAACCTTCTGCTATACGCCGATATTGTTTGAGGTCCCGTAAGACAATAAAGAGAGGGGAGCCTGGCTTAGGGCTCGAGGGTCCTTGTCCCATGGTGGATTAAGGACTGAGAAAGAAAAGAGTAACAAATAGACGTGCTCACGTAAGCAAGGACCAAACACGGACACAGGGAAGACACAGTCAAAACAGGGTAGAGGGGAATCAAACTGCCTCAATTCCGAACGACCTAGACAATGAGACAGGAATTTACACCCCCCCCTCACGGAACAAATAGTAGATAGACGTGCACACAGTCGACACAAAAACGGAAAAAAAGACACAGTCAAAACCCTGGATGCTCCTGACACAGTAGCGGAGAACAAACCCGTCTCAGTTCCGAACAACCTGGAGAATGAGGCAGGAAGTCTTTCTCCCCCACCCCGCCACGGAGCGCACAGTGGACACACACACACACAATGACATCGGCGCCGGACAGACACAATCAGACAGGCAGGACTCTCACACGGCGTCCCGTGGAGGTCAGTAAGGGCGTTGCAGCTGCGTCCAGCCTGGCCACTTACTTCAGAAGAGTACTCACCAGAACAGACAGATTACAGATTGCTCTATGCCCAATTGAGGATTTGTGGTCCGGGCAGCCTGGTACGCACGGGCTATCTCAGCGTTCGGGGCCAGGGAACGTCTTCCTGGTGGCCACCCCCTGGACGGTGAGAAGCCTGGCCTTCCAGAGATGCCCGTGTCTGGTGCCCAGAGGGCGATCTCGGTGGGACCTCCAAA